TGTTTCTGAAAGCTTATGGTGATAGCTTTGCTGTCACTCTTCTTACTGAGGCTGACTTTTTGGAATGCCAGAAGAATAGATGTCATGTGCAATAACCATTGTTAATGTCATTGAGCTTGATAGAAGGACACGTGTGCAGCCCCATCGCATGCTGCCTTTTCTGCAGCTCTACACGGTGTGTCTGCGAGCGCTGCTGGTGGCACCTGCAGCTCTGTGGGGACTGGAGGCAGGAACACATGGGGACAGAAGGCAATGCAGGCTGACCTGGGGAGCCGTGCGTGAGGCTCTGCCAGTGCTTCATCTGGGCCCTGGGCAGGAGGAAGAGGTGAGTTTTTAGTGGATTTGAGGGAAGGACTGGAGTTAATTAAGCAGTGTGAAAGGAGAAAGAAGGATATGCCAGATGGCAGCGTGGGGACAGGCCATTCCTGCCTCCAACTCAGCAGGGGGTCAGGAGCAAGACTGAGGCAGGGCAGTGTGAAATTGGAGAGGGGGTGAAAGCTGCAGGTCTCCGGAGCCCTCTGAGAGTGCTGCTGGGTGCTCTGTAACTGGCTGCAACAAGCAGGGTAGTGTCATGCCATTGCTAGAGGTGATGCCTTTCTTTTGATTTGCAAGACAAATTTCACTGCAGCTCATTGCACCTAAGGCTCACAAAACTGGGTTTCCATCCAGCATGGTGAATGCTTTAGTTTCTCTAACGACATCCTTAAACAACTGTGTCTGTAACACTGCCTGAGTGTGAAGGGCAAAGTGTTAAACCACTCAACAGATTCCCGCTGACATGAGGAAGACATAAGCAACACCTTCTAATTTGTTACAGGGCTCTTCTTAGTTTTCTCATTCACAGCATTCATTTGTTCTGCCCTTGCAGCCCCTTGCTTTCTAGCAGTAGGTTTCTGCCTGAAGGACAACATGAGCCTCTGCTCCTTGAAAGGCTTTTACGAAGGAGGAGGGAACAAAGAGAGAACCTATCAGAAACAGCGTCAGGGAATGCCTAAGTGGATGTTTCATTGAAAATAGAGATGTTGGAACTGGGAATAATGAATACCTTTTAAGAGAGGCTAGGGGTCATTGTGTATATGCTCAGTTTGTAGCCAGGAGGTGGAAAGAGCTGTGTTCCCATTGCAATACCTAATGAAAATAGCTCTGGTTATTAATATTGGAGAGTTGCTGTTAAATCTGCTCAGTTCTGGGCATGGAGTGGTTACTTATGCCATTACCTACATTCTGGTTTGTTTGTCTGAGTTTTTTCTCACAGTGTTTGGTCAGACTGTTGCTGGTTGCTCACCCACTTGATGTGTGCTTTGCAAAACAGCATCAGGAATGGAGTCACCACGACCAGATGCATCTGTGCTATAACAGCTCATTTCCATCTGGAGCAGTTTCCCTTTTATATGTTTGAAGAAAGAGTAGAAAATTATAATGTCTTCCTGTGCTCTTAGAGTTGGACCCTGTGGATCATATTACACTGAGTTGCCTTTTGTAGCTGTTGACTTCAGTGACAGCCTAACTCAGCAAAATATTAGGAAACTGGAGGCTGTGGGAGCCTGAGGAACTTGTGGGCAACAGCAGTGGAAGCACTGTCAGCAGCACCAGGAATGGCCTCACCCTGACTGCTGGGATCCCTTCTTGTCCAGGAAGGGGTCTGAGGAGTGGAGGCAGCCTCACCCAGTGTGATGGGGATGGTGTTCCCTCTTGGTCCCTGCACTGGTTTGGGCATGACAGAATAATTAAGGTTGGAAAAGACCATTAAGATCATCTGGTCCAACCATCAAACCACCATGCCCAGTAAATCATATCAAGTGGACATCTGCATAGTTCTTGAGAGCCTGCTGGGACAGTGACTCCACCACCCCCCTGGGCAGTCTGTTTTGTTTGGCCAAATTAAGATAGCCCACCCAGCAGATCGTGCCACTGCCCAAAGCATGTGGATTGTGCATGTCCATGGAGGTGTGGGGCTCACAGTATGCATTATATGTTCAGCATTGCCATACTGCCATAAGAAGGGAAAAAAAAAAACAAAAAATGCAATGTCATGCAATAAAATAAAGTCAGATTCATCTTTATGGATGTCTGGAAAAATCCTCTGATGATATTAATTCTCAGAAAAAGTGAACTTCTAGAGTAGGTGTTGTTTATCATTGCCTTTCTAGTGTGCGTAGTTTGTAGAGCCCTTTTCTGCAAGTCCAGCATTTTTTATCCCTTCTAATCCTTGGTCATTCTGTGTGGCTTTCCAAGGAGAGCAGGAGGAGGGTTGACATGGCGAGGTGCTGCTGTGCCCAAATCTTCCTCTGGAAGAGTGCTGGGTGAGTCCTCTGAGCTGCCACCTCTTGCAGGGTCTGTGGTAGAGATGCATTTTCTCGCTCCATGTCCCTTCCCTGGAGCACCCTGGCACAGTCCTCCAGCTGTGGGTTGTACTTTTGGAGAATTCCATGGGAAACAATCCAGTAAATCTTGTTTTCACAGATCATTTTATAGTGCTTGAAAAAATATGTGAAGAAAGTGGATTTTTGTCTTGTGTGCAAAAAGCAGTCCTTAGGGGCCACATCAGAGATGAAAAGAGGGAACCATCTTGGCTGAGATTAAATAAAAAAGAATGAAAGCCACTTTTGTGGTTTCATCCATGCATATTTTTCTTGATGTAAGGCCAGCACTACATTTCATGTTTTAGGTGCTTGTGGCTTTCCAAATTTCTCTTCTTTTTTGGTCCTTATCAATTTTATTTTCTGCTTTGCTCCCACACTTGCCCTTTGGATGTGTCATCAATATGTGCATAGGTTAAGTGCGGACAGTAGGTGAACAGCAGCAACATATAAGCAATATACAAGATGGTACAAAAATACTGTATTTTTGGAAGAAGATATATATATTTTTTTTAATGGGTGTTTTTAATGGGAAGTAGTAAGGCTTTGCAAAGTATTTGCTATGGAAATGCCTCTGAACACAAGTGCTGGAGCAAGTGGAGCCAAGTTCAGAGCTTGCTTTGGACAGGATGAAGGCATTTGCCTTCATCAGGAGATTTTGTACCATGATTGTTTGCATGGATTCTGCTGTAGGAGGGAGCTGCTGTAGGTACAAACATCCACTGAGAGTTGGGTTGTTCAAGTCGTTCTTAGGAACAAATGGACATGCAGAAAATACAGGACTGCTGGATTGCTACCCATCCACCATCACCAGTTCCTGCTGAAACACTTGGGGCTCTTTTGTATGCTGCTGTTTGTATTTTCTTGAATTACAGCTTTTCTCTTGTGTGTGATTGTAATTTTTTGCTGTGTTGAGCTACTGAGAATGGGGAAAGAGATTGTTCTTTCCCTGACAGCTGCTGCATCACAGCATGGCTGTTGTCACGGAGAGCTCTTGGTACCCAGAGCTGGGGCAGCTGCATAAGCTCCTTCTGTGATGATTTGTTTGAAATAATCTATTAATCTGCTCTAACAATCTATTCTGCTTTCACTGCACTTTCCTGATAAGTGAAATCATATTTGAATAAAACCTAGCGCTTATAAATGTCTGGTTTCTAATAGAAACGTGTCTTAATAGCTGATCTTAAGTGTGCTGAAAAGCAGATTCCGTAGTGGAAATGCTAATGAAGCTTCAGCAGCAACAACTGGCAGCCGTGACAAGGAATTCAGGGTTGTATATTTGGGTGGCAGAGGTTGGGAAATATATTTGTGCTGTCTGTATCTATTTTTGTCAGCAACATTAATATCTTATGCCTTTTTTTTCTTTAAATCTGTACTGCTGCAAAAGTTTCAGCATCAGCTAATCTTCCCAAGCAGTCCGTGAGGCTCAGGTTTCAAAGTCATTATCCGAAAGGTCACATCCTGATTTAATACCATTAGTGTAAACCCAGGATCGTTTAGTTGATGTGGGTGGAGGTGCTTGTCGTTTCAGTTTTTTGATCTTACTATAAATCTGACCAAGAGTAGGTTGCATTTGTGAGGCTAATGCTGTGTTCTCGAACACATCACAGGAAGGCTAAGATTGATTTTCACCTTCAGATGAATCCTTTCTACGCGGGGCAAGTCAGCTCCTTCTCCTGAAGGGTGCTGGGCAATTCAACTAGTCCACTTCAAAACAGGAATTTGTCAAGTTCCCTTTGCTATTGATTTATGGATTGGCATTCACATTTCTACATCAGATAGGTTTTCCACTTCTTCATCCTGCTGGAAGCATATATATTCTGGCGATCATTTGCAGCAATTTTAAACCACAGCCTTTTAAAACCACTTTTATGCCTTCTTATATGACACACTATGAAAGGTAGTTTGAAGATTTGATGTTCCTGGAGACTTGTTACAAGAGAGGTGGAATAAGAAGTATCCGCCGTGTGGAAGTGAACATATGGGTTTTCCACACTACCCACAAAAAATGAATTGAGAATGTGAAATTAGAAGGCAAGCAAACATTCATCATGCCTTTCTCTCTTTTCCCACTGGATCATATCTTAATGGGATCTTTTAGACTGTAGCCTTTTGGGAGCATGTTAATATTTTGTGTAAGGACGAATAGTAAATAGTGGTAAAATACAGCTTGACTGATTACATCTCTGAAGGAATGGAGCTTGTACCATTCCCACGCACATGGGACACATTCACCATAACTTAGGTGATGCTTCTTGCTTGTTTATGTTTGTTTTACCAAATAGCATGATGTTATACCTCTATAATAGAGGTATAGAGTTATACCTCTATTTCTGACTGGAGGAATCTTTCTGAAATTGCTTTTTTATATTTACTCTTTTATTTTGGGTGTCTGTAGTAAAGAAATAAGTAAATTAATTATATATAACTTCACCAAAATTCCTGGTGACTGGAACTAGGCAACTACTTGAATATGATTATTAAAACTGGATAAACTGGTTGTCTGAGTGAATGGCTTGCACTTCTAGCTCCTCTCCTTAGGATATGATGAGAACGATATGCTTCTAGAAGCGGCACACATTTTCTCCAGGATTAACAGAAGGAAATAAATGTTGCCTTTTTTCTTTTTTTTCCTTCTAGGTTGCCCTTGTTCTCCTTTTCAAATCAAATGTCACATTGACTCAAATCCAGCATTGGAAGCATGTGGGGAACTGCAGCATATCAGCCCGGCACAATGTATCCATCAGACTGGAAGGAAGCCCAAAACCAAAACTCCACTGGCCAAAATGCATCCTCTGCAGAAACCCCAAGGCAAGTGGCTTTGACCTCTTAGCAATTCTGCAAGCTTCTATCGTACATGACATTTTAAAATTATTTTTTCTAAATTTTAAGTCAAAGCAAAGTACCTATTCTATGTTCTGAGGTTCCAACACAGGTAGGAGGGTTGTATTATCTTTGGTTTTCCAATTTTAGAGGCATCTTAGGGAAGCCTTCAAGAAGAAACTGATTCAAGAATAACTGATTGCTTAACTTACTGATTTACATTCCCTTTACTATTATTATACCTCACATAGCTGTGAAATCTAAATTTAATTTAGCAATATTGTTTTCATTCTTTATCATTAGTTTTTTGAGAAGTATTTAGAGTAGCTTATTATTTAAACCTGGATCTGTTTTCCATTCATTTTAAGAAATATATGTAGCAACAGGAAATGCCAGAGTAGAATTAATGTATTTTAAAAATGGAAAATAAACTAAACTCATCACTTCCAAGAGATATGTGGGCTGTGTTAATTCCACAGTCCTGCCAGACTCAATGAAGTAGATGACCCAACGGTAAAATGCTTTCTTCAGTAGTTATTCTTGCTATTATTCTTTTAGACAGAACCCAGCTAACTGGGCTTCTTTACGCTGCTGTAGAAGTAACCCAACATGAAACAAGTCCCACTCAGAGTTCCCATGGGAATCTATCACACAGTGCCCAATATTTGAAAATCAGACCTAATGGCTCAGAGTGTGCCAAGTTATACAAAACTGCAAAGTATTTGTATAATTTGTGTAAGTATTACAAGATCTGGTTGTAGATGTGCCATTCATCTTCCTTAAAATTTCTGTGTTGTTACTATTTCACTTATATTCTTTATAATAAAATTACTTTTAAACAGTATCTTTAGTTAACTTATATGTAACAATAGAGAACAATATGTAAGATCTTTTGCAAGGTAGGTTGATGGTAAAGGTTTTTTTTCTTCACTTTTATTGACTTTGTAAATTTGAAATGATTTCTGTCCCTTAATAGTAATAGTTCATTGGTAACCTCTATAGCCTGTATACCAAGTAAAGATAGGAGAATGCTTCTTGCCTCCAGATAATAATCAAAATAACAAATACAAAAATAGTCATGGGACAGAAACAGTTCCCCAGGCTGTTGTCAGTGTATTATTAAATTGCCTGTGTTTAGGTTGACATTTCTCCTGTAAACTATCCTTGCTTACTCTTGGTGGTCATGTCTAAAAAAGTAATATTAACAGTGTAATACATTCCCTTTACAATACATGAATCTTCCCTCCAGATTTTGATGGCATTTTTAGGCAAGAACTTTTATTCCCAAAGCTTTTACCCTGGAGTTACATGGATTGTTCATTCAGGCTCTTTCTTGTTGATTTATTGAGTGGAACGTGCTGGCATCACTACCAGAGACTCCAGGAACAGCTCTGCTTTAACCCCACCTGAGGCTGTGTGCTGTTGACTCATGTTTTCTTTTCTTTTTTCTTTTTATTTGCCTGTATTTGCTTTCCAGGGAGTAGCTCTTCATAGTCTGATTTATCATATACAGATACATAAAATTATAAATGTAGTTTATGTATTTATGTACAGACACATTTGAAATTATACAAACTATATGTATTTAAGTGTCTGTATTTAGATATACGTATATATCGTCTAGATATACATATGTGAGTGCAAATCACAGCACTGCAGATTAAGTTCTTGCAAGCCATGACAAGCCCACCATTGCCAGGATGATTTGCTAGGAATGCCTTCATCAGATCACCTACCAAGTGTGTACTGGCCCTTGGCATTATTGTAGAAGAGGTACTTGTGAGATGGAGAACTTATGGGCTGGGAGGCCTGAAGTAACACGGTGGTTGAGATGCTCTAGTCGTGCTAAGGGAAGGATCCTTATTCCCTGCCATGAGGTGAGGGAGGGGTCCTTACTCCCTGCTCTTACAGGTCCAGGGCCAGCCCTGGTCTGTCACTTCTCCCGGATATTTAATCTTGTCTTCCCCTTTTCTATTTCTGTCCCTCTGCTTCTCGTTATTTCACTTGTTTATTCTGCAGCAAAGGCAGTGTGTCTTGCTTGGTTTCTGCTTCCTCCACGCAGCACTGGGCTGCTACGTAAAACCTTCAGGAGGAAGACTGGGGAAGAGCCATTCTAGCACGTGGCTTCAGCTCTCAGCCACCACCTGAAACACATCCCATGACACTAACTCTCTTCCCCACAGCTGCCTTTCTTCCCTTTCTCCACCATTTTACCTGCCTGTGTGCAAACAGGGCACTGGGAGCTTCACCCAGCATCTGTGCTCTGCGGCTGGGTCTGTGGAATGAGGGTGCAAGGCAGAGGGGAGTTCAGTGCAGAGAGACAAATCAACAGTGCTGCCTTTGGAACGGGACGGCGAGCAGTGCTGGTTGTGGCTGAGCTCCATCTGCGGGTCCTGCACCCACACGTGGAAGCATGAGCTTTGGGTTTTTATAGGATTGACTATTCTTTTAGTACTTATGCCAGTACTTACCACAGTGCACATACAGAGGAGTTCATCTGGTGTTATGTTTTTTTTAGTATGCAGATCTATCAGTTACTGCTGTTCTAGGAGTTTAAAATGATTTTTGAGTTGAAATGTATGTAAAATGCGTGAGGGGTAACAAATGTTTGTCATGTCATTTAATGGACTTCACAAATGTTTGCCATGTCATTTAATGGGCTTGGGAGTGCAAATCAGCAATATGGTTTGAATGCTTTTTGCAGATTGATGTAATGTGGACTTTAAAAAGCCTATTTTGTCTTCTCTGCTGAATTACGACTAGGTACCTGCTTGTTGAGTGGAGAGGGAAAGCTGCCTGGCTGTTGTGATACTGTGACAAGCAATGCCATTTCCTTGAAATTCTGGATGTAGGTTCTTTGTGTCAACTTTTCAGTAGACATCTGTGGTTAAAGTTTTGCTTTGTAAGCAGTGTTTAAGAAAGGCAGTAACTTTGCCTCTGTGCTGATCCATCTTTCCTTCCAAATTACCTTGGTAAATACCAGAATTCACAACTAACCAAAGGGACTACTTTTATTTTCCTTCTTTTTATTACACGTTATCATAACACAGATGCAGTGAAGTTCACCTTCTGAATGTTGTAACCCAGTTTTAAGCTCTTAAGAACTGAATAGGAAATGTAGGATAGGTTATTGTGTAGCTGTCTGCTGCGTGACGCACCTATGTAATGCAATAGTAATTTTCTTTTCCTGTTTGACTTTGTGTGTGTGTGTGTGTGTAAGACAGATTTTGTGGTGAAATTTTCAAAACTGAACTGTAACATCTTCATTTTAAGACAAGAATGTTTTTGCACACTGCCTAGTCAGTCATCCTATAAGAAGCATCCCATTAGAGCTCAAATCATTAGATTTGATCTTATTCTTTGGTGCTGAAATGACCTCAGTAACTTAGATAGTTTTAATGCTGACTGTATGCAGAGCTCAAAGGCTCCAGCCGTTCATCATCACTGACCTCAGACAGTGACTGTCCATAGCCAGAGGAGGGAGGACCCATAGGATGATCTGGAGCTTGGAACAGTCAGTATTCTGCAGAGTAGGGACAACAGAGGTTGACTTCTTGGGACCGTCCGTTTCAGCTATAGCCTCCTCAAGAAAGTAACCCTGAAATTACGCTCTGAACAGTTGCTGATTAAAGCTTCGTTACAGTGTTAAATTAATCTCATAACACCCATGTACCATATTGACTATTTAAAAATTGGAAATGCTTGAAATACATTGTTCTTGAAAACAGTGTTTAAGAAAACGCATATGTAGAGTTCCCTCATTTGTGTATTAACTCCTTGAATAGCCCAGATCAGATCATTTGGCAGCAGTGCTGCAAGTAGTGCACATTTGGGAGTAATCATGCTGCCGGTTTTCCTACCTTCTACTGTAAAGTCTGCTACTATGAAGCTGCTTTCTCTGTCTGAAACTGTAGCAGCACGTGAACCTGTTGCCATGGGTTACTGCTTACGTATTTCCAAAACCCTTTACTCTGCAAACAATGTAAGGGCTGAATATACATTTTTTTAATTACTGTTTTTTTAAATACTGTATTTAACTTTGCACCTTTGCCTCCCAATGAATTCTTAAGCAGAAAGTACACGTTCTCACAATGTGTTTTATTTATATAGTATATAACTCAATGTAGAAGCAAAAGAGGAAGGAAATTTATGAAGACTACACCACGGAAGACATGGGGGAGGGAGAATGAAAGGAAGAAAAGCTATTATGTTCTGCTTGTGGGTTTTTTGGCCAAGCAAATACAAGGCACTGAAATCCATGGTGGGATTGTTTCTGTGGTGGTTTGTTTTGGTTCAGCTTTTTTTTTTTTTTTTTTTTCGACATAAGAGGTTGAACAGAATGCTGGAGTCTTGAAAAGTCATGGGAGGGGAAACTCAGTGGCGTGGTTGAGATGGTAAGCCTATTTGCAAAAACGAAGTGCGAGCTGTGCATCCTGTTTGGTAACAAGGAAGCGGTAAATTTCAGCGAGCCGCACTGTTCGGTAACACGTTTTATACAACGGGAGAGATGCAAAATAGAAGACCATCATTTTTCTTTAGTGTACAACAGTTTGCTTTTGCATAAGGAATAGTTTGGGACTGCACCAAGTGTAATTTATGAAGGTTGAAAGAATGGATATCCCTCGTTCTGCATCGCGTGCCTGCATTTTTTTCTCCAGTTTAAGATAAAGAAGATGAAGATTTATCCTCCTGTTTTTTCCTCCTGTTTTATTAGTACCTCCTAAGCCTGTCCACCTCAAGCCTGGGCAAGAAAGAATTCCTCCTGCACCTTCTCGGCCTTTACCAGCTGATCCCAAGTCATCAAGGAGCTTAGTGCCTGGAGAGGAAGAAATACCAATATCAGCAGGTGTCAACACTCTCATTGAGAAATTTGAAAGTATTAGGTAAATATGTTGTTGTACCTTTTAAACTACATATTGCAGTGGTTATAGCTTGTGACTTGGAGTTTAAGATCTGCTGAATTTGAGTGCTCTCCTACAAGAGAGTAGCTCAGAGTCTGCTTTTAGTAAGTTGACTTGTTTTTGCATTATAGGAAATTGATTATTGTGATACAATATAATTGAGTTGTCTGCTTGAGACTCAGTAAATGTCAGGCTTACTGTTGCATTGCTTCTTGGAGGCGGGGGATAGTTCAGTGTCTGTGTATTTTGAAATGGGATAATGTATAACAGTTTCCTTAGAAACTTTAAGTATGAAACATTAAATGGGGTCAGAGCTGATGTATAAAACAGCTCATTTCAGAAACATGTGAAAATCCTCTTCAAAGACCAGACTTGGCTGATGGACGTAGATGATTGCTTTCATAAAAAGGGAATGGAGACAGAGACACTGTACTGTGCCCTTTAGTGTGTTACCACCTGGGTAAATATAGTAAGGTCTCTTTCAGATAGGAAGAAGTAATGCCTTCTTGTGCTTCAAAAAAGGTCCCCTCTCTGACGGAAAATAACTTGCTGCAAAGACTTTGTTCTCTTGAAGAAAGTGAGTTCCTGTTTAAACAAACCCATAAACAAATGCTTTTTTTAAAAGGTGATTCCTCTTGCCCCATATGTTCAAACCAAACTGTACTTCAGGGCAAGGTGGAGAGTGTTAAAGATTTGGGATTCTAATGGTATCTTTTCAATTAAACTTACGGTTAGGAGTGGTGCATTTTTTACCTGAATATTGGGTGAATCTTGTTACAGCAGTGTCTGTACACATACCTCCTGATATTGTCAGGGGGCTGTAAGAAATGCAGCTTGAAACAAATGATAATCAGGCCCAGTCTCTTTTGAGGTACTTTTGAAACCTCTCATTGTTAATGTGAATGACTGGGGTGCTTTCTCTTTACCTGCAGGCAACCCGTACATATCCTTCAAAGGAACCAGCTAAATTTAGCTCTTAAGATGGAACCAGGCCTGGACTCATCCAAACAGTCGAGCTCGTGTGACTGTGACATGGTAGCTTCCAGTGGCTGTTCAACAAATGAAAAAAGTGAAGCAGATGAAAATGAGCCAGACGTGCCGTGCGGTGCGGATCTATCTAACACAGACATAATGAAAATTAAAGAGCTAAGCATAGGCGATAACAAAAGCCATGAAGACTGTACTGCTGTGAATGTGAGCAAAGAACCCTCTAGAGAGCTTGGCAGTAAAGACTCAACTGCAGAACTGAATGGTAATGGTAAAATTCCCAACAGAGACAGTGGCATTGACAGCCCTTCTTGTAGCGTGGCAGGGGAAACTTTTCCCAACGAAGAAGGCGCAGAGCAGAAGAAGCCCAGTGTGTCTGGGAATCCGGGGGAGATGGAACCTGACAAAAAGGGCACCAAATCTTCCTCTGCAGAGCAGAAGAGAGACTCCACACAGGATGAAGACAGTGACATTGATGAAGGAAGTAGTGAGGAACAAGAAACAGCAGAAGTGCCAAAGTTAGAGTATATGGATATAAACAAGGTAAGGTAGTTTAACATTACTGTACCTGACGCCTGTTTCTGACTCTTTCCAGAGATCCCTTGCATCACTTTTGTGCGTTTGGGATTTTTTCTTTGCCCCTATGTCAGAGGATCGTGCTCAGTTTGGATCATAGCTTGTTCCTGTTCTAGACTATATCTGTTAGAAAGGTTTCCAATCTTAATTTAAAAGGTTTCTTCTTGTGACAGTGCATCAGAGGCAGAGACAAGTTGTTAAAACTGAAGTTCCGTTTGTAGGTAAAGACTTGGACCCTGTGTTTTTTGTTTGAATTTGTGCAGGTTTGGCTCCTACTTAAGAGATCACGTTGTTTGCAGTAGGACTTCATGACATGCAGAGGGCTAATTGGATAGTTAATCTTCCAGGGTCAGGCCTTATATTCTGGAAGGACATGCATGTTGGAAATCTCATTTAGCAGTGTATATATATATAATTTTTTTTTTAAAGAAGCCTGTGATTCTTTTAGTGTGACTACTTTTTGAATGCAGATAGTTATTTTGAGGGTATTCTGTGGAAAATAATGGGGTCCATGCTGTTGTATATTTGCTGCGTCTGTTTAGCATTAATGGCATTCCTTTGATTATCTGCTTATGAGGACAGTTATATTTAAAAATAGGTTAGACTTTTCATTAAACAAAAACAAGATGCTTCAAGCAATATGTCTGCAAAATATTCCCCTTCTTGATTTTTTTTTTCTTTGTTTGTTTGTGTTTGGGGTGTTTTTCATTTGGACATCATGAGAGTACAGTTTGTGTTTAGAACAATACCATGAGCACTAACAACCAGGACTGGCAAATTGTAGTGCTCACATCTCAGTTCATGCAAATTGAGTGGTACTGCTGAGGTCACAGTATAAATCCTGAGTTATGTACAACAAGAGTTTGTCCCTTTGGGAGAGGTGGCAGTTTAAACTCATTTGGTAGCTCCTAGGTCAGATCAACCAGAGAGTATTACAGAGTGGTGAAATTGTATGCAAGTATGTGATGTGCTTGAAGTTCTGTCATTCAGTGCTGACAGCTGTAACTTTAGAGTACAATTAATGCTCTGTGGTGTCCCCCTTTTTTCCAAGAAGACAGTGTGCTGAGACAAACACACCTCCAGGAAGGTACGAAAAAGCCCCGGAATTTCTCCAGTGAATGCACTGCTTTATGCTGCTGTCCTTTTTCTTTATTACAAGCTCAGGCTTGTGTGACTAGAGTCACATTCCCTTCACATGGCTCAAACACCAGCATTGTTGCCTGGGACAGGTGTTGCCCATGCAATACTTAATTGCTGCACCTTCTGCAATTTTGGTGTATGTCAAACTCATTGAAACTGACTGGTTTTACCACCCTAGCTTTACACTGGTGTTTCTGTTATACAACAGAAAAAAGTGAGACTTAACATTGCCAAAGTGCTGCGTAACTAAGAATCAGTCTCTCAAAGAGGAGGCCCATCTCCTGCTGTCCAGTTGCTGCCTGGGTGTGCATGAGGTGGGGGTTGCTGCCTGCCTGGAGTGTGCTACGTGTTGGCAGACCCAAGTTCCACAGGCTCGGATGAATTCCCTTAGGTCTGTCAGGTGCCAGGGGGAGTTCAGCAAGAGGAAAGGATAGAAAGTCTGATTTTGGTGTCATGGATACCATTGGTGTCACAGAAATAGCTGACCTGAAAGCAAAACTTGAGAGTTTATTCTGGCAAGTAGTCCTTGTCAAAGTGAAAGTTGTTTGTATCCCTGTAAATGAACTGATACTTTCCATCTTAATTGTACCAACTTCCATTTGTGCAGCTAGTGTTGTTTTATCCTAGAGGCTCCAAAGCACAGCAGAGCCTCAGCTCAGGTGTCAGGATCTCCAGGGTCTCTTTGATTCCATCCAGGAGGGAGCCTGAGCACGGTTCTCATTGCTCATCCCTGCCACCATTTGTTAAGACTTGTGGACTGGAACGCCATAAAGCATCCTGCAGACTGGGGAGTAGTGAGGGCCATGCGAGCTGGGTCTGCTTGGCAAACCTGGCTGCTTGCTGTATATGGAGAGGATGTGATTTCATTTGCCTGCCTGCAGATCTGCAGTCTCACCTGGTAGCTGGTGGGGATGGCAGAGGAGCAGCCTGTCAGCTGGGCAGGAAGGCTGCAGGGCAGGCAGCCTGCGTCCTGCGCAGGAATAATCCATGGCAAGATGAGATGGGATCCAGCAGGACTACAGGTCTGCACTGCCAAGGGAAATGTGTGTTGTATGCAAGAAATCAATGTGGGGGATCCTCCAGAAAGCTATTAGTGGGAGAGATTCTTATTAGCATCTGCTAGAACTTAGCTTGTGTCCATTAACATCTGGTATCTCTTCAGTATTCCACTAGTGTAAGCTCATTTTCATCTCACATCACAGGCATCACCATCACAGTGCATGGCTTCTGGTCTGCTGCTGTTCACTTTCCTTTATGTGTATCTTCATACATAAACACGTTTACTATGAAATACTTTAATTATTTTATCTTCGTAATATATGTGTATAGGTATTTGTACAGCTGAAATATTATTTAAAAGATTATTAGTTGCAACATATCAGCAAGAAAATGATGAATAATGATTAGAATGATTCTTTAATCTGGATATTAGATTTCCTTTTTGAGTTAGGCATGCAGTGCCAAAACAGTGCCAAGTGGAAGACTTTACAGTGTCATTAAGAAGAGCTTTACTGATAAATACTACAAATAATTACTGGTCTAAGACATCGGAGTTTTGATGGCTGTTTTTAAATAGTGTTCCTTAGGCTAAATGTCCATATAGTGTGAAATAATGCAATTAAACACTGAGTTACGTGGTCATATTTGTCAGTAGGGTGCTTAATGAATTTATAAAAGGGCAAGATCTCTAGAGGAGGAAATGCTCTGTTTTCTTGTGTTCCTTTTCTTCCTATTGGGACTTCTCATCTAAATTAGTATGGGAGGACAGGTGTGACATTAACGTGATATACTTCAGGTCTGTCCTTGCATTTCGGGTTGATTTGCTGACCACAAGAAGCAAGCCCAGTTTTGTGGCCACGTGTGGGGAAAGGCTTAAAGACATGCTGCCTCTCCTTCCGTGTAAGGATTGTGCCCTCTTCTGGGGACGCAGTGTGCACCAGCTCAAGGTCAGGTGAAGCCAACTGGGGTGTTACATGTTCACAGCACTCTCCCATTCTGCCCTTTGGTTCTGATGCAAATCTGGATACAGCAGAGTGAGTCTGTAAGGGTACAGAGCCATGGCTTCCAACAAGCACGATTCAATTTGTATTTGCCTTGTTATGTGGTTGCACTGAGTTCACATCACCCTTAACAAAACGGACAGTTTTCCAGAAAGCAACGTGCTAGAATGGCTGGGAGGAATAGCCCAGTGAACACCCATAACACCCATATTGGTGTGTGAGCAGGAGGGACCCTTTCCTCCCCCCAGCTGTCCCAGGACAGGCCATGTGTCAGGGCTTTGTTCCTGCCTCCCCCTTCCCGCTGCCGGTACCGGGCTGCAGCTGCACAGCGGAGGTAACCAGCGCTCTCATTAAACAGTCACGTTTTCCAGAGAGCTTTGTTGTAGTTGGAGGAGGATGCATGGGAAGTACAGCTGCAGAATGATTTAACGATGGCTCAGTAATTCCTGGGATATTGCGTTAAGCGAAGTTCATGAATAAACATTAGTAGAAAAAGAATCGTATTTGCTTTTCTCCTCTCTAGATTTCTACTTCGGAGCGCTCTCCGTCTACCACCCGAGCTTTCACACATCCCATGGCTGGTGAAGTCATGCTGCCTGATGGATGACTTGCATTGTTTTATTTAGTCTAGGTTCAGCTCTGCAGTGTGGTGTGGCTTCCTTTGGGAGTCTGCAGTGCGAGCTCACAGATCTCACTGTTAGCACACAATTATTGAGATACGTTTTAAATCGCAAGAGTGACTTGCTGGGATTTCCAGCAGTCTTTTATCAGAATGAGAATGAACAAGGGGAGCTTATTAGTTTTGATAATGTTTCAGAAAATGTCGGGAGCTCTGAGAACTGAGGCATGTCAGCCTTGATGGGTACAAAAAAAGCAATGACAAAAGCATGACTGAGGAGCTGTCATGCTTTGCAGCCTCTGTCACCCAAGGTTCTGCTGAACCTGGGAGCAGTGGAGTGATGCTGCAGAGATGGGTAATACTTTCTCGTGTCCTTTTGTTCAGATATTTTTCACTAACAGTAACGTGTGCTCATTAATAATCACAAAAAAATGCCTTTCTCCATCTGTCCTACTTCATGAGAACCTGCTGTGTAAAATAATGCTGATAATGGAGAGCCCCCCTGGGCCTCGTACAGTCATTGACGTGTTCCTGTTCTGCCTGTACCTAGCTGGAGCTGTGCTTCTGATTTCACAGTGCAGTTTGTGTTGGAAAACGTGACCTGCAGTCCTGAAAGTCAGACCTCTGGGTAAGATTATCTCCACGTGTATTTGGGAAAAAAAGATTTTGACTTGGCCTTGAAGAGGATATGAAGTGATTATCTTCACTTCCTGATTTGACACTAGGGAGTGTGGCCAAAGTAATCGTTTTCTTATGAGAATCTGTGGAGGCCTCCTGATTTGGTCCATCAGTTGGCTTACAGCAGGTTAGTGGGGGAGCTTTGTTTGGGGACTTTCTGTCTTGTTTCCTGACTCAGTGATACTTTCCAAGCCTTTAGATGAATCCACACAAGTTACCCACTAAGCAAAACAGTGGAGCCAGTCATAGAGTGCAAGTTAATAAAATCAGATATGTTTTCATCTTCACTTTTATCGAATATGCTGAATAAAGTAAGATCTCAGCACTACAAAAAAGCCCTACAATACAACAACTTTTCCATATTGGTTTAACATTTTCACTTAGAAAGTTGTCTATGATCTTTTTGGGACCTTCTGCAGAGGAAGGAGGGCAGCAGGTTGGCCTGAGCCCACCACCCTGCCCCAGGCAGCCACAGCCTGAAGTAGGGCATCCATTGCCTGCAGCCCTTCTCCCAGTGCCTGGCATTTGGTGGGCAGCTGGTCAGACTCTCATGAAGCACTGATGTGCTTGGGGCCTTCATTGCATAACAGTGTCTGCTGTTACCCACTTTGTGTCTGTCATTGGCACATTTACATGTTTGCAGGTGCAGATGTACTCCCACTGCAGGTGGGAATCTGCCTTTTTATGAGAACCTGATGCTGGTTGTGTATTTCCTTTATTTTAAAATGTATTATGGATACACGTGGAGCTGAAAACGAACTGTGGGACCTTCAACACAGAAGTGAAAGAGCATCACGCAACTGATGTTCCAAGCAGTGCAGTGAGCTTCCTGTGTCACAAACAGGCATTGACACTTCCCTTTTCTCATCTTCCTTGTCACTCCGCCAGCTCAGCTGCTCTGAAAAGGTCCTGCAGCAGTTGTATGGCTGTCGTGTGGGACTGTGGTCCTGCCGCGTGGTCATGGTGGGCAAAGGAGGAGGAAAACGCATTTACGAAGAATAAAACAGCTTAGAATTCATTTTAAGTGGAAAGCTGGGTATTTTATTTGCCATGTCATTTACATGCCTTGTAAATGGCACATTTTTTTCTGCAGGGCTCTATTTGCAAAGCTAACTATGCTTCAGCAGTCCCCTGTAGCAGTCACTCAGATCATGTGCATTGGAAGCCTACTGTGTTCTGTGTTTGATAAAAGCCACCTGCATGGGCAGAGGCCTGGTTACCGGGTGCTGCTCTGAGTAGGCTGGAGATGGTGACGGCCCCACATACCCGTCCCCTTTGAATTGATGCAAAGTTGAGCATGTGGTGAGTTCTGCTGTGAAGAAAGGTTGAGAGGACTGGATTTGTTTAGCTTAGAGAATAGAAGGCTCCAGGGAGACCTCATTGTGGCCTTCCAGTACTTGGAGGGAGTGTATGAACAGGAAGGGGAACGGCTATTTACAAGGGTGGATCATGATAGGACAAGGGGGAATGGTTTTAAATTGAGATGAGAGGTTTAGGTTGGATATTAGGAGAAAGCTTTTCACACAGAAGGTGGTCACACACTGGAACACGTTGCCCCAGGAGGTTGTGGATGCCCCATCCCTGGAGGCATTCAACGCCAGGCTGGATGTGGCTCTGGGCAGCCTGGTCTGCTGGTTGGCGACCCTGCAGATAGCAGGGGGTTGGAACTAGATGGTCATTATGGTCCTTTTCAACCCAGGCCATTCAATGATTCTGTGATTCTCCTTGCTACTCGTTCAATTCAGCGTTAGTGATGTTAGGGGTATCTCAGATCTCCTCAGGCTGGGCATGCTGTGTCTCTGCTGATTTCTTTGTTACCCAAGGACTCTTTTCCCCCAACCATCTTTGTTGCCAAAGTCATTAGGATGAAGCCTATTTACTTCAGTCAAGCAGGGCTCCTTCAATTCCTGTCAGACTGTAGTTGTGTTAGTAAATGTGAACAGAGACTTACGTAAATCTGTTACATAAGGAATATAAATGCGTTTCAGTTTGCACACTTCTTTTAGTTTTCCTTCGAAACAAAGGAAACACAGACCATGAAATATGTTGTCCATATCCCCTGCTGTACAGCTCTGGCTGTGTCGAATCCGTCCTTCCAAGAGCATACAGCATAGAAGAGTTGGAGCTAGGCTGTCCTTGTAATTCACTGTATCAACTATTTTAAGTATGTTATGTCACTTGAAAGGTGAATAAGTTACAGATCAGTCTGAAAAACACGCCTGTCTGCCACTAGCAGAAGGAGCAGCTGAAGATGATCTTGCCTTAAAACCTAATGCTCAGCTCAGGCTGATATTGTGCTCGGCCGTGGTTTGGTCTTTGAGCAGATGTCAGCAAGATTTTTGTAAGTATAAACTCAGTTGCAGATGGTGAAGGTCAGGAGGTTAGAAAGTGCCTGTGCTATGTAAAGATTTACTTTTCAGAGCAAATGTATTTGGTTGAAAATAATTATTTTTCAAATTCAGAACTCAAACAAATCAGAGGATGTTCTGGGTGCTGGCGTGCCAGCCGGGTGACATCAGTGCCTTTCATTCAGGCACTCAGCAAAGCTGGCAAGTAAATTCTTTCTCAGCGAGAGATCCCAGCTATTGGAATCTTAATGGCCAGCAGTGTCTTTCATTAAAATCTAGAAGAAGTTGTGTTTCTCCATAACAGCTTCAAAGCATTGGGCTATGTCTTTTTTTTTTTCCTCCCAGAATATTAACATATAACATATAGTCACCCAATCCATCATTTCCAATACAGCAAAAGTCCTCACTGTCCCTTGGTTGCTACTTCTGTCACAGAGCTGTAGGTACTTGGGCTAAGTGGTACTTTATTTCATGTAGGGTAACTGTGGGCCTGGTTTGCTTGGATTCATGGCTAGCTTTGAAAAGGCTTTCAGTTTTCTGGTTGCACAGCAGTTTGCCTGAATGTGTTTTTTAATTTAAATTTGTTTCTTTTCGACTTTGTATGTAATCAAAACAAGATGGCATTAAAGAAGCTTAAAGAGAGAGTTTCAGTGACACTTTCTAGCCGTGTTATGTGCCTAGTGAGGGGCTGGCAAGCAGACGGAGATAGGTGTTGGGGACAGAGAAATCTCTGCTGCTGCTGGGGGCCCAGGTGCTTCCTGGAGCAGAAACAGGCTTTGTTTTTAATTGACTTCAGCTGGACTCATTCTCTGCAGATTTGTCCAGGCTTTTGTGAGCCTGTGGGAACCTTTGCTGCCTGCTGCACTGTGTGTTCCAGGGCTGTGCACACAGGGATGAGGTGCTCAGGGAAGCAGCTCTCGGTCTTGAAGCAGCACTTCAGTAGTTTGATTTGATGCACTCAGTTCTCCAGTGCAAGGAGTGGTGAATAATTGCACCAAGTTGCTGTCTGTTTTGTTAACCATTTATACATCTCTCAAACCTACATCACAGTTGTCTTTTTCCCAGCTCCAGCCCATTAAAATTTCCCTACCCTTTACCATTCTTGCTGCCCCTTTCCAGTGTTGTACTCCTGTTTCTACCAGCCAGCCCTCAAGTCTGAAACACAGTTTTGATTTGATTACATGTAGACATGGAGTTTGAAGTCTAGACCTTCAAAGGTATCTAGAGTTTGTCAGAAAGCTAGAGCTGATGTCACCCTAATTCCAGTATTTCTAAACACACAAGAAAGCAAGAGTCTCTGGGGTCTATGCAAGTTCTAGCTAAATGGTGAAGTAAGTTTGCGCCTCTTAGTTGTATTCAAGCTTTTGATTTAGTTCTTATTTATTTATTTTAGTGAGCACAGTGTAAGGCTTTGCTGGGTAATTTCAGTTACACTGCTGAAACTGGTGAGTGTTTAAAGCTGCACAGAGCTCATAGAAATATAGCAGAGAGTAACCTTGCACTGGCTGGGGAATGTAATGCGTGGCCAAACAGGTCTTTTCTATTTTCCGATTGTTTCTGTATGCATGACACAAATTAAAAATTGAGAACTGTTAATTTGCAGTCTAATGCCTCAGTTACAAATAACTGAGATATATCTCTAGATTTAGTGGAAAAACACAACAAATGAAAACACAAAGAAATAAAGTGATGTCCTCTTCAGCTTTCAGAAAATGGCTTAAAATATCTCTCTAAAGCAAACTGATCCTTTGGTGAGAAATATGGAGCAGATTCTGAACTGTGTTAAGCTCATTCACTTTGGGCTTCTGTATTGGCAGGGCGTTTGACCCATGGAGAAAATGGGAGGGAGGACGGTTGGTGAAAGTTAGTTTTGCTGGAGCAGATGGATTCTGTTATTTGTAACTTTTTTTTCTTTTTTTTTTTTTTCTTTCCAGTGTACAGAGCCCCAAAAGCTATTCAACATTGCAAATGAACTGCTCCATACAGAAGAAGCGTATGTTAAAAGACTCCATCTGTTGGATCAGGTAATTCAATTGGATGGTATATGTAATTATTACATAAAGAAAAACACGAATGTGCAGTAAAAGCAAAGGAAAAATGAAGATGATTAACGTTGCTTAAGAAAAAAAGAAACAGAGCAAACTGTCACCTTGCTAGAAATCTTGTTAGAAGCTGCAGCCTTCAGAGAGTTATCTACCCCCATCCAACCCTACAACCTCTGTGGAAAGCTTTCCAGTGTTTGCTTTGGATGAGCAAAGGCTGTTTCAAGACCCTAGAAATCCAGGGAGTGTCTTTCACTTTTGTTCAGTACAGTGTGATTTTCCTACAGAGAAACAAAATAATCAAAGGGTTGATCTTCGTGTGAATACCAGTAAGTGCTCTTCAGGGACTGATTGTTCTTTGCAGCTTACACTCCCAAATACAAGATGTCTCATCTTCTCAGTAGTTTCAATCTCTTTGACTTACAACCACCCCAGACATTTTTGATGGAGAAGCAAGCCCTTATGCATAAATCTGACCCTGTTTGACAATAGGCTTCTGTTTTGTGAAACTCCTGAGAATGCTCAGGGTGGTGATCCCCAGGGACTGAGTGCCAGAAGTCAGATGTTGTGGCTCTGTTCTGAGGCAGTCAGCTTTGTAATACTACAACCTGATGCCGCTGTGTTCAGGTTTTTTTAAACTCTGTGTCGGTACTGTCTTGTCTCATGCAGGTGTTTTGCACTAAGCTGTCAGAAGCAGGTATTTCATCTGAAGTGATAACGGGCATCTTTTCAAATATTTCTTCTATCTATTGTTTCCACGGACAATTTCTTCTTCCTGAGCTCAAAACAAGAATTACACAAGAATGGTGGGTAACTGTCAGTACAATTACATTTAAAATATATTTTCAAGAAACTTTAGTGACCTGGGCATCTAATTTTATTCCAGCATTTTTAATTTGTATGATGCAGTAGTTCACTTGTTATTTAACATATTAGCATGGAGTCTCTTAAACCTCTTTTATCTGTATTGTTCCTGAAAACAGGAGTAGATCTGAGTATTCAGCATTTCTAGAGTACTTTGTGAGAATTTTATTCCAGACCAGAGTATTGTTGGAGCTATTTTTCTTACTGTATTTCCACTTGTTATGCAGTACTGTGAAATTGTAGGACTAGGAAAGAAACAAAGTGCTTATTTTAGCTCCGTGGATGAGTATCTTGTGTGTGGTTGTTTCCCAAAGAAAAACACATCGTCCTATCACAGTCTAGACTCTGCATGCCATGTTGGAGACTTAATGAGACACATCCATTTGATATTTTAATGTAGCAATTATATAAAATTCACTTTATAAAATTAGCATTTTATCAGCCAAACAAAGGAAAATCTAGAAAGATAAGATAGGCAGCTTTGTGCCCATGAATGAGTTTACATATGTTACACAGCTGTTTCTATTGTAGTTTAGTACCACAGCATTGGACAAGATCTCACCCAATAATTTGCTGGCCTTCTGTTAAATGATAAATATTATTTGTTACGCTGTACATATACTTTCTTTAAGAAAATAGTTCTTTTTTTACCATTAGTAATAATGGTCGCATATCAGTTAAAAGTTGGCAACTGTAGTAAGTTTTAATCTTTCTGCCTTTTTGCCTATCACTCCAATTAATTGTAAGGCAGATGTAGAATCCCTGACTTGGGATGATGTGCTGGCTGTAAAATGTCCTGTAGTGGAAAGTGCTAATAATGCTGATGCTGCACCTTATTTCATATTAAAGTCAACAAAGTTGACCTTTCCAGCTATCCTAAATGATGAAGTCAAGATATGAGCTCCCATCTCTCTTGCTAGAGTCCAGTCTTCTTCACATAGGTCGTTAATATCCAGAAGGAATAAAAAAGCGTCAGCACCTTTGCACTTGACCTGTGTCTACAGGGACAGCTGTAATAATGGAAAGGAAAACTGGAGAGACTGGAAGTCAGGGCAGGGCATGAACTCATTCCGTGGCTAAAGGGCACTGGTGTAAACAGACTGTGAGTCAGGAGTTCAGTGAGAGAGGAAAGCTGGGGAAAAAATGGAAGGGAATCATAAACTGGTTCTGTCAAGGGGACTGGAACATGAGAAAATTAGATATGCAGCTCTCATTGTCGTTTACACATCTAGCTCCCATAGAGGCCCTCTGGAAGTCTCCCCATAAATGAGCTTCAACTTTATGTAGCTCTTCAGTGGTGCAGGCTGTGCTTCTGCATGGGGAAAGAGGGTGCAGGGTGGCTGTGCTGCCACAGCTCCCCAGGGATACTAAAGCATCTTTGTAGTATGAATCCAGCGAATCACAGCAATTGTTTTCTCCTATGTGCAGTTTAACTAAAAACGCAGATCTGCAGAGGAAAGCAAATGGATTTCCTTGTCTGGGACTGTGAACTTGGACATAGCTGTTGATAGTAATGGAGACTTTGCAGGTCTCCAGGCTCATCTGAACTTCCTGCTGCTGCTTGGTAGTACCTAGGGACCAAACACAACTAAGGGCCACCTTGGGGAGCCTGGCGTGGTGCTGGGCTGGGTGGTGCCAGCCCAAATGTGTTCCATGGGTGGAAGACAACAGTAGAAGTCTGTTATTGTGTATTCTTTCTTAAAATAGAATTGATTTTCACAGATTTCTATACTTAGCATTCTCTTTCCAATAGGAGTGTGAACCCACGGTTAGGAGACATCCTGCAGAAACTGGCTCCTTTTCTGAAGATGTATGGAGAATATGTGAAGAACTTTGACAGGGCAATGGACATGGTGAATACGTGCATGCAGAGGTCATCTCCTTTCAAAGATGTTGTTCAGAATATACAGGTATGTTGTTAACAAGCTTGATGTGGCATTAAATCCTCATTTATTTTATTTCCAGTGTTTTTCTACAGGGTGGTACTATTTTAGAATTAAAAAGAAATACAGTTTTAGTGGCAGACTTCTTCTCTTTTTGCTGTGCAACACAGAGTTTTCACATTTTTTCTCCCACTTGAGTTTTTAAGAGGAGAAGTGGAAGTTAAAGAATGAAACTTAGCCATTTGCCTGGCAGTTTTGACTATGTTGGACTTCCTCAGGATTTCTCTATTTGTTGCCTACATATGTCCTGTATGTGAGGAGAATGGGGTGAGTTATCTCCTTAAGGGAGAGAGTGAGATAGCTTTGCCATATGTTGTATTTTCTGTTCATATTTACACAGCAGAATGAATTATTGGTGGCTCAGTCCTTCCTGAGCACTTTTGTGCCTCTTTAGTGGGCCGCCTTGCCTTATGTGCTACCTTATGCAGGGCACCCTTTGCTCGGATACCCAACATATCCATTTGTAAACTCATTTTCTCATTGCTAATTCTAAGTGTTGCTTTTTAACGTGGACATTTTCCTTCTGAGGCTGGTGCTTTTGACTTTGGCTCATCACTGGTGGCAGCACCTGAAGGAAGCTGTCAGGGCTTCTAACACCCTTGTTAATCTGGTGTTTCTGAGGTTCACTAAGTTGTGCATGGTGCTAGAGGGCCACAGCTCTGCCAGAGGGTGCTGGGCATGGATTTTCGTATGATCATACTTGTAAGGAAAGCTGTATGGGGAGGAGGAAGAGCTCTGCTTACACTGGTGTGTCAATAGGACCTGTCTGAGGCACTGGTCCAGCTGCAGGATGCAGCACGCTGAAGCACACCTGCAAGCATCTCTCCATAGGTTCTGGAAGTGTGGACAGTCCTTCAGAGGAGATGAGGCCTGGCAGGGAGAGGGTTAAGCTGAGCAGGGAGCACAGCTGCTGCCCTAAATGGGAGCTTGTCGGCTGGCCAGCTGTCGGGAATCAAGTAATCCCAGCAAGCTGGGAGAGGAGAGGCCCTGTGCAGAGGGTAAGGGCTGCCGGCCGTCTCAGACAGAAGCTCCCTCTTGGAAGAGCAGCGGAAAGGCAGCAGGAACTGGGAAATCTCTTCTTCTACTAGACTCTCACTGTATGTGGCCTTTTCTTAACCTTTTTCTGTCTAAATCCAGCCTGTTCTCACTGAGGCTCTGTGCAGCTAAGTGCATCTGTTGGCTGGAATTTGAGCCCAGGCACTGCTGGGCCCCTGGGGCTCTGGCTTCCCTGCAAGGGGCTCCGTGGCCCTCCTCACCTGCCTGCTGCCCCCAAGGACTCTGGCTGGGCTCCCAGCACTCCCTGCGTGACCTGGTTCCATGGAAGGGGGAAGCAGAGGCACAGCTGGGCTCTGGAGGAAATCAGGCCTCTTCTGGTGCAAACACTTGTAAGAACTTGTGCTTTCAGTGTGCGTGGGCATTTTGCTGTCTTTGGTTTAGTGTCAAGCTGCTGACATGCCTTTCTGAGGAATGATTCAGTTAGTAACTGTTGTCTCTACAACACAGAGGGCTGCCCTCCCTGATATTCTGTATCTGCACTGCCCACCATCAACACAAATAATTCCTGTTAGCTGTCAACCTGCAGAACATATTGGCAGCTGCCCAAGACCACATGCATTTTTTGAGCAGAACTTTGACAGGCAGCGTTAGGGCAGAGGATGCAACAGGAGATTTGATTCTGAAGCCTACTGATGGCAGTATTTCATGGTAGGTTATTTTAGCTATGGCATCACAGCACCTCCTGCTTCTGTTGTGACTATAGTGAATTTGGGAAAGATTTGTCCTGAAAAGCTTAGTCAATTCATCTGGCCTATCTCTGTGCTACCAGGAGCCACAGGTACTTTCCCAGACAACAGTTGTCCTTTGTGTTCTCTCTCCCCACTACTCTGGGAACTGCTGTAGCCTCTGTTAATAGAACCACAACAGAACTCTACAATGTATCAGAAAGTGGTGGTTTAGGGTATAGTAAACTTCAGCCCGGTATTCTGGTTGTGTAATTTGTATATACAAATGATTTTGCAGTTGCATTTCTGTTTCGGTGGAGCTGCCATAGGCTTTTATGTCTGTCCATGGCATGGAACAAGTGCTGCAGGGTTCATACAGCATACAGAATTACATACAGGATGCAGAATTACATTTATGTGACTCCTCTTGTGACCTTCAGCTTTACTTTTCAGAATACCAGTAGAAGCCTGCTGTGATCCTGCAAGAATGCAGTGTCTACCCCAGCTGTTATTGGAGTACTTACACAGGCATTCACAGTTATTAATTACATAATACAATGAGAGCAAATAGAAAACAAAAAAATCACGTAGGAGTTATAAGTGAATGACTGCAACTTGTTGAGCTTACTGTAGTTGTTCTTAAAGATTTTTCTGTATGTTTTGCATCCACTTACTGGGGTGAAAACCTGATAGCTGCTAAGTTTATTAGGACTCTTCTTTTGTCAGTTTTCTAGTTATGCCATCAAAAAAAAGAACTTTTTCAATCTATGTTTGTGTGTTTCGGATTCTTATGTGAACTCATTAAATGCAGAACAAAAGTTTATCTTCCCTCTTGTAAAGTCTTTTGGATTGTAATGCAAACTCTGTAAAGTTTCAGAGATCATGTAATATAAAAGTTCTTGTATTTGGGACAGTTACTTTGTGTTTGCTGGCTTTTTGTAGAAGATTCATTTGGCACATTTATTCCAACTGACATGAGTCTGGAATTGACGTCTTCCTCTGCTTCCCTGTTGTTCAGTGTTAGGGTTCATTGTGTTGCAGGAATAAAAGACAATGGAGGCTATATTAGTAAGTGGATTGGGGAATATTATAAACCAGAGACTAAGGCAGTTGTGCAAATCTGTGTATCTGTGCTTCCTGGAATCTGAGATTCTTTCCATCCCAGTTGTATTTTCTGGGAAATGTGCTGTAAAACTCAAAGAGATAATAAATTCACTTAATCTTCTATAAACAGAAATACTGTTCACTATGCTTTTTTTTTTTTTTTAAAAAGCAAATTTATATCTTGAAATTTCCAGAAGGATAGCTAATGTTTTTTTTTTACCAGACAGTCATCTCTTTCTTGAAGCAAAGCCTGAAGATAGCAGGGCAAGTCAGCGTTGTGTCTTGGACTGTGATATTTATGTGGAAAACTACACATACCTGAAACAAGTGCCTTTTTCTGAGAGAAGAATACTGAATTAATGTGGAGGGGCTGCTTACACTGAAACAGACCAAGACATGGCATTAGTGAGCTGACTTACAAATAATGGCCTGGAGAAGATTGTGTGTGTATGTGGTTCAGATGCTGATGTAGGATTAAGGAATGAGATAGTATCATTAAGAGTAACTTTCTGTCTACTTAAACGCAAGTTAGTTATTTTTCAACTGTGTTTCTCATTTCTCCTCCCACTCCTTATAAATAGAAATATCACTTCATAGGGATTCTATGAGAATAAGCACTGCAGCACTCAGTGCTGTTTCAAGCAGAGCAGTTCAGTGCCTTATTGGGTAATATTTAGTGTAATCAGTCCTAAAGCTAACCCCTTCCTTGGTCAAGTGAAAGGAGAGAATTTGGGGTAACTGCTTCCAAGATGGTGTGTGAGCAGCTTATCTTACAGTAAGTTGTAGCAAGCACTGTGTCTCTGTGGAGGTTCTGGTTTTATTTAATCCTTGAGGGCAGCAGGGGGAGGGAATACCATGTGTGGGAAGGACTTTTCTGAGTGTGCGAAGAAACACACAAAATGTAAAATATAAAATGTTGTGTATCTGCAGAAAATGTCAGAGAGATGAGACGAAGACCTGCCAGTTCTGATAGCTTGGAAAGTTTTTTTGTGCTCCTCTAACTATACAGGTCGTTTTTCATTGCTGTTTTACACCAAAGATGACCAAAACCAAAGCCTTCTGCAGTTGTTTTCTCTCCATTACAGAAACAGGAGGTGTGTGGTAACCTGACGCTGCAGCATCACATGCTTGAACCTGTGCAAAGGATTCCTCGTTATGAACTTCTCCTGAAGGACTATCTAAAGAAACTTCCAGAAGAATCTCCAGACAGGAAAGATGCTGAAAGTACGTGTAAACTCCTCTCTGTCTAATGAACATAATAAAATCTTGGAGAGTGTTCTTTTCTTCAGATGTTCAGATACTTCAAGCTAGGGCTGTGGTAGCAATGGAGAGTTGAATTTATCAAATTATTGTCCAAATTAATAAAAAGGGATTTTGGAATTCTTCTATAGAAGAAGGGTGCTGATATGTCAGCTCAGGCACTAAATGAAGGTTTAGCAAGTAAACAGTGACAAAGTATTGAAGCTTGTAATGGTAGAACATCTGGAATTTTTATTTAATCAGTTGTATATCCAAAGACAAATACAGGAGGATATCCCTGCAATAGCTGGAAGAGGAAAATATGAATGGTTTTATAAATATATATTCTTCCAAGGAATGCAAGTTAGACTGTTAACACGGAGAAACAAGAGGGATGTATTTCTGTTGGTTTCTAGGAGTTCTTGTTTCTTTCAAGAGAAGTCTAAACCAGAGTTCACGTTACTGTAAGCACACAAGCTCTGCTTTAGGGCAACACTCTTAAAGTATGCTTGTGAGGACTTGAAGAATTAGGATTTAGGTAGGTTTTTTTTTTTTTTTGTCACATGTGTGATTTTAGGAGAGAAATAGCAAATGATTAGATAGATATCCATGTACCAGTTGAATATGCAAAAGCGATTATGTATGTAACTGCTTGTAAGCCTTTCCTTTAGTTTAGTGAGGACAGAGTGTAATCAGCCCTTGCTTTTGCAACAGCAGTTCTGAAGGAAAAACGCTAATCAGGGAGAAGAAAAAAACAGCTATGCTATACCTTCTTTTGATTGCATCTGATACTAACGTGCTTTCTTTATTACAGAATCACTGGAGCTCATATCTACAGCAGCAAACCATTCGAATGCTGCCATCAGAAAGATGGTGAGTAGAAATTGTGTAACAGAATTGTGATTTGATGGAAAAGCTAGTTTGAACTGATCATTCTCCATTGCTAGAGGCTCTGCAAAGCAAGACTGGAGAGGATTTTCAAATATGGTGTTATGGGGCCTCAAACATCAGTTGGATATCTGAGTTCTCTTTATCATAAATTTTCCTCTTACGGTTACTGTGATTTTTTTTCAGCCCAGATTTTACTTTCCCTATTCTTAAGGGGACAATGCATTGGAGAAGAAGGTCTTCACAAAATCATTACTGGCTTTTCACTGAAAATGTTTAAAGTATCTCAAATCAGTCTGTTCGTAAGGTGTCCTTGCAGATTTTCATGCTGTTTTTAATTTCTTAATTCCTTTATGGCAAGGAGGTTGTTTTAGTTGAATTTTGGCTTGTTTTAACTGCACAGAGGAGAGATTAGAATGTGTCAGTAGTAGCCTTGGTAAGCCATACGTCAGGTTGGCAGCTTAAGATAATGGAGATTTTGAAGCCAATCTTACAACACAAACTCTTCACTTTTTTTCTTATTTTTTGAGGCCTTTTATGCTGAATATTTGTGTATGTTTTGCATACAGAGCTGCTACAGTGCAGCCAACAAAGTAAATGACTTGATAGTTACAGATATTACCTCGTTTTTTTAGACCCAAGTGCCTCAGAGCCTTCTACATCTTATAGATCTAAAACACCCCTTATCAGGCTTAACACTCTGTGATCGTTCATAGATTACAAGGTTTATATCCTCTTCCATATCAGATCCTTATTTCTTTGTTCTGTCCTTTCAAAACATTGTCTTTATCAAGAAATGTCATAGGATAGAACAAAATTAAAAGGAATATCTTTCCTATTTTTTTGTCCTTTCCTATTTTTTTGTCCAATTTTGGTTTGTTTACATACATTGTTTCTTTTCCTCCCATCTTCCCTTTCAGCCTTTTTATAAATTCTGCTTTAGAAACCAAGTGGTTTGAGTTGTTCTTGGTATCAGGGCTGGGCAACAGTACACGATTCTGCCCGGTGCCCTCTGGGGCTGTCAGGATGCCATGAGGCTGCCCTTCCTGGGGCTGTTATGGGAAGTAACCAACTGGTGTCTGTTTTCACTATGTCTCAGAGAAAACCTATTTTGAAACTGTCTACTTCTATTTAAGACTTGCATGTTCTCTTGTTCAAGATAGATGTCAGTGGAAATTTTTCTGGTTTTGGGTCTTGAGCAAGTCCTTAAGTAATGACTGTGTTGCTGGGTCCTTTCCACAACACCTGCACAAGCAGCAGGTATGTGAAGCTGCCAGGCTGTTGCATTCCATGTGGGATGCTTTTCTGGTAGTATGCAAAAAAGGAAAGGCTGCTGTGATAATTTTGTAGCCCTCGCGGATGAGAACCTGAAGTCTCGTTTTGATTTTTTCTGTAATTAATAGATTTTACCTGAGCAAAGACTCAAATGAAAATTATCCAAGTAAGACTTTCAGGTTTGACTTTGTGGTTGCCCCATTCCTGCTCTGCTCACTGTCTGCCTGAGCAGCCCCAGCTGTGGGGCACATCCTGCATACACCTCTGTGAAGCCCTGGGACGGTGTGAGCAGCTGGAAGGGGCTGGAGCCAAACCAAAAGAAAAGCAAGGGCCGTAGCAAAATATCTGAGAGCTAGCATTCATGTTGGCTGCTTCCTGCTGTTGTGGAAGAAATAAATCATGCTTCTGAAATGAGCTTTTTGAAATATCTTCTCCTAGCTGGACAGATGTCCCAGTTTTGGACCTGTTCTTAGTATCCCAGTCATTCCTCCAGAAAAGTAGTTTGATGCATTACATTTTCTTTGAATTAGTGGAACCTTTGCCTCGTCTTCCAGTTTGTTGGGAAAAGTCCACTGGGCCTCAGGACTTAGGTGCTTTCCTTGTTGGAGTCTACCCCCACCTCCATTCCTTTCTGTTTTGCAGTGTGATTATTTAAAGGGATATTATTTGTTTAGTTGTCATTTTGGTTTGTTTTGATAGATGAATTGCTTAGCATAGAAATTAATGTGGTGTACATTTATAGCGAAATAGTTTGTGTCAAATGGGAATTAAAGAAGAGTATGAAGACCTGAGATCCAGCTGAATCTGCATATAGATTGAGGTGTGGTTTACAGATGTGTTTGGTGGTATTTTCTGTGTGTATTTGCATAGATCTGTCCTCACTTTCTGACCATTTGCTTGTAGTGCAGTTTGGAGCATATCTGTCCAGCCTGTGGTTGAAAGCAAAACGTTTCCAAATGCTTTTGCTCAGTAGTAAGATTTAAGCACTTCTGCTATTTTGACTTGTTAAATCTGCTGCATTACTTAATATAGCAGCTGCAAGTGGGTTACTTTTATCCGTTTAAATTCTGTGTAGAAGAACTTTAAGTCAACTAAACATTAAGAATAAATATTGCTTTGCTGAAAAGGAAAAGCTAACCCCTTTCATAAAGACTTTTAGCTAAGATAGAAGGATGCAGAATGACATGAAAATATTTTAAAGTGTATTTAGGTCTATTTCATAAGCTTACTTTTTGCTACAGGGCACCTGTGTAGGACTGCAGCCATGGCACTTAGGTTCCCTGTGGAGCTGAGGTTTTACACATAGGTTATAAATTCAGAATGTGGTGGTGCTTCTTAAAGGAGCCAGCAACAGTACAAGAGGTGAAATTTCTCAAAAGCTGAAAAATGATCCTACTGTAGCAGAAATCTTACTCTGAGATGTTGAGTAGAAGCTGAACTAACAAATTCAGGCTTGAAAACAATTTGGTAACATGCTTGCCTTCAGTTCTTCAAGTGACTTTACTGGACCTCATGATGTTTCTTCCAGTGATATATATTTATTATTGATTATCTGAAAATATCAATTAGATTGATACCAATATGTTGTTTAAAAAAAAAAAAAATCATTAAAGTAGTGTAATCCAATTATAACTCATAAGTGACTGAGAGGGAAAGAGCATTGAGGCATGGAGAAGATATTAATTCTTCAACACAAAGCTATATCAGAACTGAAAGAATGTTTTCTTTCCTGCTTATTTACTCTTACTGCAGAAAAAGATGCTGTGGGTGATAGGCCAAGTAGAATATATGTATAGATTTTAATTTCTGGGGTTCTGTAATTTCAGGAAAAGATGCACAAGCTTTTGGAAGTCTATGAGCGACTCGGTGGTGAAGAGGATATTGTTAACCCAGCCAATGAGCTCATTAAAGAAGGACACATTCAGAAACTTTCAGCAAAGAATGGCACAGCACAGGATAGGTATTTATTCCTGGTGAGTTTTTTTTTTATTGCTGCTTTTATTTTCAGAGTTGTGCTATGAATTGATATGTTTCCATCTTTCTAATCACTACACAAAAAGCTTTCACTAACAGCCCAGCTATTCCTTCCTCTGAGCAGCAATTTGCTCTTGATGCTTTTTCCTCAAGGATTTCCTTCCTCCTTCCATGCTCACACCTTTGCCAATGTCAGGCTTAAAAGGGTCTGTGCCATGCGAGCCTTTCAGAGGCTGCACTTCTGTGATGTGCTTCTAAGGGGGGATTTCAGCTGTCCCACACTGCTGAGCGAGGTGGCCAGCTTCTCTGACACTGACAGAATAGATCATCTTTGCTTTCAAGACAGTTGAATTGGTACCAGAGTGATCACATAGTGTCAGAGGAAGAAGTGGATGGCTGGCATGTTTCTATTTGTCCACCTTTTTCAAGTAAGGATATGTGACTCCAACCTACTTCTTAAATTTCTCCCTCTTAATTACGTTATAGAGTAAGGTATGCCAGAGTCCCAGATTGTCAGAATGCTGTTTATGTCCTACACGCAGCTCTTCAACTTAAATATCTTCCTTGTTACAGTTTAACAGCATGGTGCTGTACTGTGTGCCAAAACTCAGGCTGATAGGCCAGAAGTTCAGTGTTCGAGAAAAGATGGACATTGGAGGACTGCAGGTTTGTCTCTCTTCTTTTCACTGTTTTTAATGCTTAGATCTGCTTCTCTAGTAAATAGTGCCAAATCCAAATCTCATCTGAATCTACCAAAAATATGACTGTATAGAAATATATAAGCAATTAAAATCTGGCTTTGATTCTCTTTTTTTAGAGTTGTTATTACCAGGTAATAAAGTAAAGGTAAGAAAATAGTGATTTGGTTGAAAGCCTTCATTCATTGCCTAGCTGACTCGGGAGCCCCTTTTTTTTTCCTTTCTGTTATAGGGAAATATTGCAGGTTCAGAGGTTTTGTAGTGAGACAAGTAATTACGAAAACAATCTTTTGGTTTTTTTCTACCTTTGTATTGTATTCAGAGTGATCTTTTCAGCTAAGCATTTCAAATAACTAATATACTTTTAAGTCATTAAAATGACTGAAAGAAGGTGAAGACAAGTAAGAAGTTGATGTGTTCTTTTGGCAGGTCCAAGAAATTGCCAAGCAAAATGTGGCTCATACATTTTCAATAACAGGAAAAAAGAGATCGCTGGAACTACAAGCCAGGTATGGTGTTTGTTCTGACTTTTGGGCTTGGTGGATATTTATGTACAAATGTATGATGTAGGTTATGTGGCTGGGCTAGTATGGTATAGCTTTAAACCAGAAGATGAGCATATGAGATGATTCATTTATGTATGCAAGAGAGTTTGTTGGCCTTCACTCAGTCAGTGTGTTAAAGTTTCATGCTGATTGGCTTTGTTCAATGTGTAAGATGTTTATAGTAGCGTTTTTAGATTCTGCTGTAGGAATAATTCAGACATTTTTGGCAGTTATTTTGTCTGGTAATAATTAAGGTCAATAACTGCTAATAATTTTTATAAAGTAGAAGATATAAAAGCTAAAATATTTATGCATATAAAGCTGTGAGGATGTCAATAGTTGGACTTAATGAAAATATTGAGAGTAGAATATTGATGTTTTCTGATTATTTTTTCTTCTTTTGTCTTAACAGGACAGAAGAGGAGAAGAGGGAATGGATTCAGGTTAATATAAAAACAATACTAAATGGATGAAATCGCACCATCTGATTTTAAAATGATCTTTTGAGTTTCTGTACAAATGAGCTGTGTGAGGAAGCAGAGTAGTCCCATATGGAAAAGCTGATTACAGAGAATCTAGTGCTCCCCTCAGTGTCCCCTGTTGAATACTGTCTCATTGTAGTGAGCAGAGGCTTCAAATCGGTTCCCATGTGCTGCAATCCTGAAATGCAGTGAGAGAAGAAAATGGAGAGTAAGAGATTGTATCCTTGCAGTCTAACTTACAAGAAACACTAATAGTGTTCTTAGTTTCTGTGTTCATGCTGGTGAATTAACAATGCCATTCACAGTTTTAAAAATTTTAAATTTCAAATTTCAGCAGGTGAAAGGGGTTTTCAATAGAATGATGACCCTAACCTTCTCCTATCATAATTTTAAAATATTTTTAATATAAGTTTTTCTAAGGCTCCTTTTGTAATACATTTTGTGTTCTCTCGCATGTTTATTTCAGGTCATCCAAGCAACAATTGAAAAGCACAAACAGAACAGTGAAACCTTTAGAGCTTTCAATAGCTCTTTTTCTCAAGAAGAGGAACATCTTCCAGATTCATCAGTAAGTATGAGTGCTTAATTCTTCTTTGCTGTACCAGTTACACCGACAGTTAAATTGCAGTTACTCAGCTAAGTTTCATACACTGTCATCTTATTTCTTGGTTTTGTTTTACATTACAGTACAGTCAGCTCTATTTCTCTGGCTCTCAAATGCATATCAGTCATAGTTATTCAACCATGCAGGTATGGAATAAATTACCCAGGGTAATTCAGTGCAAGAGACCTATCAGTCATGTTTTCCAGATGAGTGGCTCATTTAGCATAACAGGTGTAATTCTTCAGTGTTATGAGTGGTTGGCTGCCTGGAATGATGTCTGTGTGCCTGAGAGATTTCCTTCATTACCTTTCCCCATCTCCTCAGAGATGTATTTTTTTACTTATTTTTTTCTTCGTCTTTACTTATTATTGAAAAAGTTCTAAGCAGTTGAAAGGAAATAAATGCATTTTATAGGAATCTTAACAATACAATTTCAGAAAGGTTCAACTCTTCAACCACATATGCAGAATAGTCTCAAATGTTTAATAGTCTTGAAACTAGAGTGAATTCTCTGTGCTGTATTTGCTAGGAATGTTGCTCTTGGAAGTAGTCGCATGAGGGCAGTGACAATATCTTTTCATTTAACTTCAAAATTATGGTAATAACCTAAACCGTAATTGCTTAAAATCTAAAGAGGAAAGCCTCTGGTAGAGGGAAATTTTGGGGAATTTGTTGCAGAGCTGCCTATGTTGATAGGCCATCAGTGGTCAAACTTGGAAGATCTTGGAGCACAGGATCTATCTGGAGAGATTAAAGCTGGGAACCTTTTCATCTTTTTACCCCTTTCCTCCCCAACTTTTATATTATGTGTAATAATCATAGGAACCTCCACTTTCCCGATCTGCCTCAGTCGCTTTGTAATGCTGGATTTTTGTTTAACTGATTTCCCAGGGGACTCGAGAGAGCTGTTAGATATTGCTAGACGTTTCTTTCATCCCAGCACAAGTCACAGACTGGCACCATAGATCTTTGCAAACCTCCAGAGTTTATGATCACATCACTTACAGTGGCCAATGATAGTATGTTTTCAAAATGTGCTGTATAGCTTACTGATACTGAACTATTTGTCAGCTAAAAATACTCTGACAAAATTGCAAAATAATCAGTCTGTGTCTGTATTCTTAAGTCCTGGCTGCCTTCAGAACTATTGATGCTCTGATGGAAAGAAATCTTTTGCTAATAGGCAAACTAATAGGCATACTTCTCTCTATCTAATTAAGACAGCGTCTGTTCAACTTCATAACTTATCTTGCTTTGTAAATCCTGTTTTATTTTGTTTCTGTGTTAATGGTGTAGCCTCATGTTTATACCCCAGTCGTTCATAAAACTGAGGCAGGACAGAGTTCTGGTTTATCTCTTGGCTGTGATATGATCATAGTATGCACATTATTTTTTTTTTATGTCAGAATACTAACCTGTATTTGTAGGAGATAATCTAATCTGGATAATGAGCTTTGAAGACTGATGTCAAGGCTAAAAGTACCGGAAATTGCTGTCAGTTAAAAAGAGATGGATGTAATTCCGTAAGGAAAACTGGACAAATTGAGAGCATTCTGTGTAGCGGTATGCCTCTGTGAGCAGCAGCTACCATACATACCTCATCATCTTGGTAGGATACTGGGCAGCATGCTTCAGAGGAAAAAATGACAATAATGTTCCTTTTTCACTCTCAAGAGTCAAGAAATACAGATGCTCTCGTGAATTCCAGGCTAGATCTGTAACAGCTACTAGAAATGGGGCTCTGGTTATAATAAGCTTGAAGAAAAATTGCCAAATTGCTTTTCTCCCATCCTTGGCCGTACATTTGATATGTTACAGGGCTCTTGATTAGTTTCAGTTGTGTGTCTGCTGCATGCCTTTGCACGCAATCCTTACGTGCTTTTGTTTTCCCTACTGACTTACATAGTATCGTACAGCCATTGAGGGTTGATCTTTGCCTGTGAATCACCTACAGAAGATTTACACTTTCTTGTAGGTATAAAGCTTTAGCGGTTGACATTTGGACCTGATTCTTGAGATTATCCCTATGCAATAATATACAGCAGTTATGGTTCCTGCTAATATTTTTTCACTAAGATTTCCTTTAAAAAAAAGAAACCACCACCCAGAGGCTGTTGAAAAGAGCATGTCTCTGTCACTCCCTTGCTCTCTCTCTTTGCTGTGCATTTTCTGTTTTTCATGGTTACTGCTTACCTCTTACATAGTCTGCCTAAGTGCAATCCAGTGAGACTGTCAGTTTGGACACTTCTACAGTACATGTAAGACGAATGGTAATAAAGTCCCACCTGTCAAGAGGGAAATAATTCAGTGTCATTGCCAGTCGGTCTCCAGCAGGGTTACTGCCACGGAAATCTTTTGAAGACATCTTTACAGAAAGCTTCAGAGCTCTTTGTGGCTTAGTTCCTGCAGAAAGGGGACACTCATTTCTCTGCACTTCATTTTCATCTGCAGCATTTCAAGAAAAAGTTTGTTGTTGTTATTTTTAAGTGTATAAAATTATTCCAAAGGAAAATAACCTGTTTTACAACTGCTTGATCTCAGAAGAGTGGGGGCTCATAGTATGTGGCAAGGAAAACATGTGGAGAACTGAGTGACATCCCTGAGATACGAGAGTTGGCAGTGCTTCTGTTAATTGAATTGTGATTTTTAGAATGTCTGTGTTCAAGTTGTTCTGTGTTGTTGTGTTTCCCTCAGATAGCAAGTACGAGCTCTGTGGAATCGATGCCAGGAGCAGACAGTGGTGCATTTGGAGGGGTAAGTAATTCAAAGCTAATACTTTGGTAGTCTGGGGTGTTTTATGTTTCTTTTCCATCAGGAAAAAATCAGAAATATTTTATAGTTTATATCCCATTGTTAGTTGGTGCAGCTGTGCTGTCCTTAACTTCTTGTCTGAGTTATACTCCCGGCTATTCGCAGGGCTTTGTGCCATCAGGGAGTGTAAATCCTCCTCTCCTGGTACGTGCTGCACCAGTGGTGAACCTAGCGTGAGGGATGCTGATTGTTACTGCTGTAGATTGTGGTGTGGTTTTTTTAAGTTCTGATGGGGAGCTAGACCGAATGCTTGTGGGGATGAGAACAAAAGGAAGCCAGACTGGTTAACTCTGACATTTTGTACAAGTCAGCATTTCACCTCCACAACCAAATTTTGATGAGGATTTCTTTCATAACATGCTTTCTGTATTTCTGGCAATACAGAGGAGTAGGTGATAGTGCCTTTGTACATCTCTGGCCTTCCAGTGATTGGCTACTGCAAAGGCGAGGTATATTTAGAAAAAAATATTTTTCATTTTGCTCTTGTAACATCTGTGATTGCTTTTGAGCAAGATAAGCACTGCTTCAAAAAGAAGATTGAGTCCTTAGTAAGGTCATCTTCTATGTATTTATTTTGTTAGCGCTCGTATCTTTTACTTCTAAAGTATTTTCAGAGAATAATAGATTTTCAGGAAATGCCTTAGGGTCAGCTGAAATTTACTGAGAAACACAGAAACAACAATAACAAAAAACCAACACAAAGTACTATAGGATATTATATATTAGCTTGGAGCTACTTAGAAGGCTCCTCTGAATCTCTCTCCAAGGCTGTGACCTATTGGTAAAGTTTACAAACTATCAGTGAAACACTGTTAAGCACACCAACAGCCTGACCTGTTCTAACAAGAGTTTATTACAAGTAAGTGTATTCACAGTGTACTTATATTAAGTTGCTACTTATTATTTGTTTACACTTCCTACAATTTTTACAATTTTAAAGTAAAATTAAAATTTTTACTTATACAATTAATGGCCCTGTTGATTTAGTTGCAGTTGCTATAGGGAAGTAACTATGAAAAAAATTGCCTAAATAGTACTTAAACACTTCTGTTGGCCTGTGGGATAAACACACTTCAGTTGTAGCTAGATAACATATTTAAATCCTTCTGATTGATTATAGATATTTATGTCAGTGATTTGCATAGTGTATCTTTTATGTTAAGTTGCATATGAAAAGAAAGTTTTAATTCCTGAAATACAAAAGTTGCATTAACATCTCAAAGCTATATATATATTTATATATATATATGGATCGTGTTAGCATGAGCAATGAATTCAGATGTAAGTTGCAGTTTAAAAAAATAATAATAATAATAATTTTTAATGACATCCCTTTAAAGAAGCATTTCAGTGTCTTTATGAGCAAGTACATTTTGAGCTTCACAGCTTCCACATGCAAACCACTTGGTGGTAGTGGTGGTCAGCAAACTGATACCTCCTTCCTGTGGTTTTGCTGAGTCTGTTGAAGAATCTGCTGGCACTTCCTTAGCATTGCACGTTACATAATCAGACAATAAAAACAAAGCAGAAGGTGTAACCTCTTGTTGTGCAGTATGTGGTGGCTGTTTGCTGTAGTGCACAGTTGATATGGCTTAATACTAAACTTTCTGTTTGCAAAAGGAAAGTACAGCCCATTGGAAGATTGTCTTGCATGTATGACACTGGCATATGAGAAACAAGCTGAATACTTTTGTTGTCGTGCAAAGTATGAAATACATGAAGGATTTTAATTTCTCACATATATTCAGCATTTCCAGAAGTACCTGATGATGTTCTGCCCCACTGTGGGTGTCTGCAAACATGTAATTTATAACTGGAAAATATGCAGCTATGTAAGCATGGAAATGCTTATGAGGAAAAAAAAGATTGAAAACATCTTTGGTGCTCGTGCATCTGCCCATATGAGCCTCATCAGCCTTGTGTATGTTGTGTGTGCAGCATTCAGCCTGGCTATTGGAACAAATTGAAATACATTACAAGTAAAAAACAACAGAAAACAGTCTGCTGAGCCCACTGTGTTCCCTGCTGTTCCTGTGAGCTCTGGTGTTTCTTCTCTGCTTCTCCACATCACACTACTGATTTGATGTCTGCTTTCCTAAGCACTCCAGCCACAGGCCCTGACCTTGCAAACATTACAGTCCTAGGCATGAGTTGTACCTATCCAGTTTTTCCACCAGAACTTTAAAGCTGAGGAAAGTGAAAACATTTGCCATGATTTAGAGAGTTTAATGCAAATGAGTGACCAAAACAGCTCAGTCTGAAATAAACTGGTGTAGATTCTGGCTCTGAACAGATTTTGTGTGTTTTTTTTTCACTGACTTAAAAACAGGACTGGGTACATCAAGAAAGACAAATCCAGTGATTCAAGTACGTTAGTATCAAGAATCCAGTTGAGGCTAGGGCAGCTTTAGTTTCCCTTTCAACATACATCAATGGTAAATGTCATTTGTGTAATAAATGACTCATTTGCAAAGTGACTTTTGACGAATTAAGCTTGTGAATTACAGTGCATTTCCTTGTTTACTACAAAAAACCTCTCTTTTCAGATAGTTTACATGGAGGTGTCAACCTCCTGGATGAGATGGCTGATTGCCTGTGCAGCAGAGTCTGTTGCTTTCCACAGGGATTGAAAGTAAAGCACGTCTCACTTCTTTCCCAGTGTCAGCAGTTAAATAAGATGTATTCAATGTTTTTCTTCTCAAATTTGTCAAGTTTTAAAGAAAATACGTTTTCATTTTTGTTATTAGCAATGTTTCAGACTTGTTTATTCTTACTGTATTGTCATAATGTTGGGAAGTGTTAAGAAACATGGTGGTATTTATCAAACACCTGGGGAGCTCTTCATACAGGGCCTTTTTGGATCAGTGAAATTTGTATCAAAAGCTTGCTGTATGCTATGGCACAAGTTAAAATCCGTCTAAAATAAAATCTGTCTAAAATAAAAGCCCAGTGCATAGCTATCACAACATAAACCAGACCTAATAGAATAGCTTTTCAGTTTTCTTTCCTTTGACAAATACATGGGTCGTGTATTTCTGTAAGTGAACACTGCCCAGTGTTTCACGTTGATGAGAAGTCAAAGATGAGAGCCCTTGAAGGAAATATTCAACTGCAGTCATTTCTGTATTACAGAAGCATGCACAGGTGTGCTGATGGTTATTTCTGTTGAAGTTCAAATCAAGTAAACCAGTTTCCACATAAGCAGTAAATTCACTTCATATTGGAGAAGCTTCAGCATTTTTCCTATGCAGGCATAGGAAGGTATCAATCAAAAGCCAAAAACTGATTTTTTGGTTAGTATTCTTCGAGATTATCTTCTAGTAACTGCTCACAAGCTTAAATGGTGGCTTCATTCATGGTCTTGCAGTTCTAGTAACACAGATGAAATTGTTAACAGAAGAATCAAAAAGCTTTTTATTCTGTGTTCAAATGTTGACTTTTAAGAAGAGGAGAAAATAACGTTTGTCAGTGATGTAGTGTTCTGATCAAACAACTTAAGGGGAATCCATTCCCAGTCACTAGAAGGAAAAGCAGTCTCATAAAAAATTAAATAGCACTGTCATCAAAATTGGAATAAGAAACAGAAGAGGACTGGCCAACTTCTGTGATACAAATAAAAAGCATGACTCTGTAGATTGCTCTTTGTCAGTAAAAGAAAGATCAGGTTGCCTTAATTATGTGCCTCACTTGGAGGGCTCTAATAGTGTCTGAAAGGAACATTTTGCCAGTGAATCACCCAAGGCATTGTTCAGTTGTTGTAATTCAGTGTTGTGCTGGTTACATCTGGTTCTTTACAAGAAAAGTGAAATTCTTCGCTCTGCTTGTGTGTGTGTTGGATTTGCAGGCATTTTGCATTGCTGAACAATTAATATGTATGTGGATGAGGGTATGGTAATTTTCCTGAATGAGCAGTCCCATCTGACTGTGCTTCACCAAACTGAATTGCAAAACATCCCATATGCTTGTATCAAAGTTTGAAACGTTGCAATAGCAGCTGTTGTAAATTTAGTAAAAATTAAAAGATTCAGTCTAATTAGAAGTAATTACTTGTGGTTTTGTCCCCATTACAAGCCAGGGTGATTGCAATAGCTGTGCAGAAAGATGCTGTTTTCCTCTGTACCCAGGGAACATCAGGACAGAGACTCAGAGAGGCTGAAAGATGTAGGAGTGGTGTCAGCAGTCAGGCTGGACGTGGAGAATTAGTTCTGGCCATCAGAAGTCACGAAATCCCACACCAGGAGCACCCAGTGACTGAACCAGCATTTCCACCTTCGCCTTTGGCCATTAGCAGAGTTAGCATGAATTCTTTTCTAGAATTACTTGAATACTGTGAAACCCAAGGAGGATCTTTGCTCTCTCAGTGTGAGAGCTCTGTGAGTTATGCTATGATGTGTATTTTTTTCCTTCAATCATATAATTGCATTTTTCATTTCAGAGCGATTCCTGTAGGAAATCTTCCAAGTCCAAGCGGGACAAGGAGAAGCAGGCATGCAAGAGCTGCAGTGAGAGCTTTAACTCTATCACTAAACGGCGGCACCACTGCAAGCAGTGTGGAGCAGTAAGTTGCAGAATGCACTGAGGCTTTTAATTTCTTTTGCAGAGAGCGTAGAAGATATTGTTTGTTTTTTCAGTGCAGGAGCTAAATAGATTGTTCATGGCAGGTTGTTGACAGAGCAGATCTTCCCACTTGCTTTAGTGCCTCAGAGGCAGAGCAGAAAAGAGCAAATGTCTGCTGCTGTTTTCAAGTGATGTAGTCTGTGCTGCTTTACAGGCACGTACTGCATCAGTGGTTAAAAAGAAAGGTGATGCATTCTCTGGGAACGTGCATATGTCGGGGAGGCGGTTGCCAACTTTGCAGAAAAAAAAAATGGCCTTCCAGTGGCCCTGCTAGCTCTTTCTGGGATGAGCAACTGAACATACAATATTTAATATGAATAATCTCTTCTTTTCCTAAGGCAGAATTGTCACAAATTGCTTGTTCCAAAGTGCTTGGAAAGTTTGAAAAAATGAGTGCTGGAGGTGCAGGGCCAGGTTACAGAGGGCACTTAGCTGCCCTTTCCCAGTGCCATTCACTGACAGCTTAATGCTCAGATTTTTCTGGAAATGGCATCCATAGCCAAGATGAGATTGATTTCTGTAACGTGACTTCAAACCTCCCTTCTGTTACTTGAGTTTCACAGTTCAGTGTTTCCAGTGTTACGAGTACAGAATAATGTTATTTAAATACCGTTATTCATTTGGGAAGTGGAGATAAATTTTCAGCTGGAAGGAGATGTAAATGCATAGCTAAGATGTTTAGAATACTCAGTCTCAGCAATCGAAACAAAATTACTGCGGAGGAGACATCTTTGCAAAGAGCTGGGATTTTCAGTTTTCCGATTTTTTTGTTCTGTTTTTAATAATAGCTAAAATCATAAAATGTTTCTGTATGTTTAAAATGCTCTACTGTAAAGCTGAGTATTATTTAAGAAGGGAAATAATAATTTTCCCCTATAGACAGAGAGATGATAAGAATTGCATTATTAATAATTTATTGTTAAATGTCTTCTGACATGGCAATAGCAGCAAATGAAAGAAGTTAAATTGCCTCAAGGAAAGACTATCACGTTTCTAAAAATGCCAGCTTGTTTTTGTTTATATAACTTGGCAGAACGGCTCTTCACTTAACGCTTGCTGAATTAAAGCAGTTACCTTCTTTCAGTCCTGCAGTGAAGCATGTAATAACATATACTTGTAACCGAAGGGCATTTGCAGTGTATTATTATACAGTAACTTCTGAATAGATGTTGAATCCGTCTGACTGCCCTTGTGTTGCACCCCGGAGGACAGTTTTTCTCCTTGGAGCAGCTATGCAAAAGCTAGTAGATTTAAGTCTGGAAGCAAGTTCCAGAGCTGCAGATCCATCACTCTTTGCAGGCACTGATTTCATGGGATGATGTTTCTTTGCATGTTCTTAGAATCAAAGGCTGTTAATTTGGCATCAGACAAAAATTGTAATGCATATTGTATTGGGCTATGTTCATAAAATGGTTGGTAATTTTGGATGCCTCAGTTCTTTCAGGCTGAACTGCCTACTAATGAGGAGGTGCCAGCCACCTTCACTCCAAAACTGTCTTACGATTGGTGTTGAGAAACACTGATTGCCTTGTAAACCTAAGCTCTTTTTAACTCAATTATAAAGTATTCCCCAAGAGGCATGTGTTTTGCTTGATGGGTTTCTTGGGATGGGATCACAAAGATATTAATTCTTAATGTAGGTAAATAAACTAAGTATTGTAGATCGATCGCTTTATTTTATATTTACAAAAGTTTTCAGGATTTTACTTCAGTAATGTCCATTCTGCAATTCAGTTTTAGAGTATAGATAAGATTACATTTTAATATTGACTAATACAGCACCATCCTTCTGATACAGGTGATCTGTGCAAAATGCTCGGAGTTCAAACCACTTGCAGATAATAGTCGTCACAATCGAGTGTGTAAAGAGTGTTTTCTGCAGCTACCACTAAGCCCATGCAGCCCTGGAGTGGAAGCAGTAGGAGAACAGAAGAAAAGACAAGCTGCAGAGGTATGATGTTTAGCTAAGAAACATCTGGTGTGCTAACTGCCCTTGTGTGTCTATTACCATTATTATTATTACTGTTATTCAAATGCATTTGTTTAAAACAAATCAAATCATTTGGTTGCTTTTTTTTTTCCTACAGTGACATTTGAACGTTCATGCAAACTGAATCCTGTTTGTTAGTGGGGGTGTTCCCCATAGGATGTTTATGGTATAGGGATGCACACAGGTTTTGCAGATAAGCTTCAGCTTTCAAAGTAACAAAAGATAGGAAAAGCTTCTGGTTGCTTTTTGTTACAATGCATTTCCAACCTTGAGTTTCTCACTGTAACTGTGGCAGAGCTTGGCAAAGTAGGGTTAGGGGGTTTTTTGCACTCTTGCCAAAATATCATTAGAACACGTTTTTCTTACTTGATTGTGCAAAAACATGAGATCCTTTTTGAAAGACTGTCAGGACTCACTGAAATATCCTTAACCCTGCTAGCAGGCAGACTGTTTTCTCCAAGACACAACTTCTGCAAATTGTACTGCATAAGCTGTTGCTTCACAATTGCTGTGGATGTCACCAAGCTTTATACTGTGATAGCAGCATCACTTACCTTTATTTTTACAAAAACAAGAATTGTGTTGGCAAAGTGGTTTGTTTTCATCTTCCAATAACTGAACCTTCTCTTACCAATGCTTTTTTTAGACTACAGGAAGAGCTGTGAGTACTATTACATGCAATGAATTTCATGGGTCATCTTGAAGAAAAGATTTTTATTTATTTTACCTTTGAATTACAGCCAGAAGTCATTCAGAAGTCACTTCATGTATAAAAGGGGCCATTCATTTTAATTGAAAGTGGACCCACAAAGGCTTATCTTCAGAGAGTATATCAGATTTTGGAAAGTGCTACTGAAACACCAGGAGATCTTAACTTCATGAACCATCCTTCCCCCGATATACTGACATATGCTAACCTGGCTTGAATACTGCGTGGAAAACCAGCAAACAGCTGCAACCTATGCTGAAAAACATCAAACTGAAAAACCTCTTTCTTGAAGCCTCTCTTTATAGCCTCCAGACTGCCTTTCAGCTTTGTTATACTTCCTCAAGAGAAGCAACCTGCATGGAAAAGAGCTGAACTGTGCAAGAAATACAAACCTGTTGGTGCGCATCCAAAACTCTTGCAATGAGTGCTTGCTCAAATAGAGCCACCTTGGCCCTTGCCCCCATACTTCCCAGAATGTTCTACTTATTTCCAGGCTACCAAATGTCTCGGAGGTCACCACATTGATAAAAATTACTGCTGTGTGCCAAATTGAACTCTGCTACTCAGATTCTTTTTCAGCTTTGTGCTCCCCAGTACACCTAGAGTCTCAGAAATATAGAGTAGAGCTACAAATGCGTGTTGTCCTTCCCTAAACTCACGTCTCCACAGAGCATGGAGAAGATGGAGCAGATTCTGGATTCTGAGCGTTACACCATTGAAAACTTCATGTATTCGAAATAGCTGTGCCTAAAGATGAGGTGCACTTAATACGCTTCAATACAGCCTGAGGTATCTCACGATAAATTTTCCAATACTGTTTCAGTGGAGCTGTTTGCCAGTGAAGTGAAAACCTACACATACCCAGCAGTGAGCTACGTTAATCTGAAAAGCCAAAGAGCAAACCAGTGAAATGTGACCTATGGCTTTACTTCAGAAAGCAGATTACAGCAGAAAGCTGCAAAAACCGAGGAGAAACACTTATTTTTCCTTTATACGCTCATGCTTCTAGCCTTGTGCTAAGTCTTCAGAGGATTAGGTAAAATGCAAGAGAATATGGATATGAAAAAGAAAGATCAGAGGCAGGCTTTTTCTTTCCCTCCTATTTACATGAAACTGTCTTAACAAACCTAATAGCATCTGAGGAGACTGCTGCTTTTCAAATGTTATTAGCAGAAATCCTTGGGAGACTTCCGTGCAAAGTCTGATGTGAAAAGGAATTTTCCTTTTCTTTGCTTTTTATCAAAAGACAGAAATTTCTTCTTTTTTTTTTGCCGTAGCACTCTCTGATTTGGGTTATGTCTCTGCAGCCACACACAAGAGTGTCTGTTAATCCCAGCGCTGAGAAGATGTGAATGACAGAAGCACAAGTATCTGCATGCAGTTCTTATTCTTAACTCCAAACATTTCCCATCTCTCTTGCAGCAGTAATCTAAAACAAGCGCAGAGCACTTGGTGCACTGCTTCTGAATGAATGAACCAAGTACACTGTCTACACAGTAATTCTAAAATGTAGAGAGGCACCAGCTTTCTCTTTGCTCTCTCCTTTCCCAAAATACTTGTTTCAGATATGTAAAGTGTGATCACTGTTGGCTGTGCAGTGAAGCAGATTATGAAAGTGGGTTGTGGAAGATTGGCACTCTGTAGGGCAGGTTCCAAGCAACCATTATTTCTTATTTCTAGGCTCGTGCTACTTTACCAGTGATATTAGAGGTGTCTTCTGTACAGACTTGCAGCAACACCATCCCTTATGTACAAAGGAGACTCACTGATGCTGAAGCACATTTTTCATTAATTTAAAATCACCTCCCAGTCTGCTTTGCTAAGCAAGAAACTAGCAGTGTCATCTTAATTGCCATTCTCAATTTACTTCGTAGAAGTGAAATTTAACTTCCTGTCCACTGGGAACAGCAGTTCAGCATCTGCCTCTATTACATGGAATTCTGCTATTTCTTGATGGTATATAATGATGATTAAACTTTGTTTTAGTTATGGTCTGTCCAGCATTTGTCCTTCGGTATTGTTTGACTCTGGAAAACTAAGTATTCTAAGTATTTTTATTCTGTAAACATGATAGAAACAGCTCTCTTTTGTTCTTTCTCCAGAAGCAAA